ACGGATCAGGACTCAAGGAGTTGTGACGGTCGAAAGAAACGAAGACCTTCGCCTACGCATAGGCGAAATAGGGTTTGACGTCGGCGGGAAGTCCGCCGCGAATGCCGCCTATGCATAGGCGGGGAGGACTTGCACCTACGCATAGGCGAACGGAATTCGCCTACGCATAGGCGCTTCGGCGTCGGCGGGAAGTCCGCCTTCGGGGTTGGAACTTGTACGGCGACTTCGGCGCCAGCGCATCACGGTTGGGTGAGGACTCAACGGAGTAGCAAAATCCGTACGGACCGTACAGACTGTACGGACGGAACGGACGAGTGCGCCTTCGGCCGGTCGGGGTTCCGGAGACAAGAGCACCGACGGAGAGGCGAGAGGGATGGACAGACTGGACGGAGTCCGTTGACCGCGGTCAACGCCTTCGGCACAGCCGCCTTCGGCGCTGCGCCTACGGCGAGGGACCTGCGCGGACGAACGTCCTGTGTGCGGACGGAATTCGCCTACGCATAGGCGAGCGCCTACGCACAAGCAGATGAAGTTCGGCGCCGGCGGAAACTCCGCCGGGGATTCCACCTACGCAGAAGGGAGTTCGACTTTTGTCCTATGCGCAGACGAACGCCTTCGGCGGAGCGGGACTAGCCAAGTTGAAGTACGGATGAGTGTAGCGCGTCGGCGAGAAATCTGCCTTCGGCGCTACGCGACCATGGCCGCGGCGTGGTACGCTGGCGGAGTTCAAATTACCAATTCGAGCGTATGATGAAGTCGGCGTCGGCGGAGCGTGAAGCCGCGCGTGAGAGAGAAGGCCGTTATACCTCGGAGCCAGCGCGGCCATCAAGTGATTAGACTTTCACGACCAAGAGCCGACCATGACCTCCTGCGAGCGGACAGAGGACGCCCCATTCTTGAATTTGCGATTTCAATTTCTGGTGCGAGCTGCGCGCGTCCACCTTCTAGCTGAGAGACGTTCTAGACATCACCGCGCGGAGAGTTACTCGGTAGCTGGGAGAGAATTGAGTGCGCGCCATTTGGAATTGAGAGAGATTAGAGTTTGCAGAGGAAACAGAATCGCGAGCAAGAGGCTTGGGCATAGCAGAGAGAGAGTTGCGCAAACCAATTTCAAGAACGCGATGTCGACATCGGTGAGGCTGCGGATGGTGCCACTCAAGCTTCCGCAGAATGGGTTGCGTGCTTTTGAGGATCGGCTGATTGCAAGGAAACTCGAATTCTTGCTGTGGGGATGGAATTACGTGTGCGCAGACATGGTGCGCGAATGGCTGGACGAGGAACGACAACCTACGCGCGGATTCCGTCCGCACGTAGATAGATGGACTGTCCGCAATTGGGGACAGGCATTAAGGAGATGCGCAGGTGAGGACGGGTACCTCCTGTTCGACAGTGAAAGCGTCAAGGTAACGAAGGCGGACGAAGCCTCCTTCGTGGAATTGTTCAAGCGGGAGAGGTATTCCAAGAACGGGTACAGGACCCGCGACTACAAAGATCGTTTCCGCAAGACCGTAGCGATGGCGCTGCTGCAATTGTTGCAGCCGCACCGCACTACGTACATCACGTTGTGGCAGGTGTCCTTTGTGGAGCTCACATTGGCTGGAGCTCCAGTTCACTGGTCGCGTATCCTGCATAGGATAATGCGACAGCATGCGTTTGAGGAGCGGGTAGGAACTCTCAATCACCTCTCCCCCTTCTTGATAAATTTTTATCGGTCGATGAGTTGTTTAACTGCGGCCGAACGTGCTCGATTTCCGCCATTGTCAGTCGACCATCCCGGGAGGTATGTGCGGGATAACGAGGTAGACACCGAGGCGGAGGATTCACCTACTTCCACTCCACCGGGTCAACAAGATGCGGGGAGAGACGCATCCGCAGCGCGAGTACCGCGGAAGCGAAGATGGAGAGAGGAACCGGAGAAAGAGCAACATCAAGAATCAGTTGCTCTCACCCGGAAGCGGCCACTGCACGAGGTCTGCAGCCGGCCGAAGCAGAAGGCGCGCAGGCTTTTGTTACCGGCCAACAGCGCGGAAACGGCGACGATCGCCACAGAGACGGGAAGTCCGTCCCCGGAGAAGGATGGGACTACGCGGACGGCCGAAGGGGCAGTAGACCATCCTACGTCTTTGGCGGAGGAGAGACGACCTTCGGGTCAGGAGTTACCACGTGCGGCGCGGATGAGTGTGCCGCCTACGCATAGGCGACTCCCTGTGGATAGGCGACCTCTTGCGGACGTGGATTTGTGCCTACGCATAAGCAGAGAAAGTTCGCCTACGCATAGGCGGGTGCCTACGCATAGGCAAGACTCACCCCCGGTGCAACGCAGGAAGGGGAAGGAGCCGGCGGAAGATCCGCCTTAGGCTCAAGGGCCTTTGGGACAAGGCCCTCCGGCGGAAAGATCGCCGGGATATGCGCCTTCGGCGCCAGGGCCTTCGAGCCAGCGAGTTACAACTAGAGAGCCGGCGGAAGCCGCGCCTTCGGCGAGAAATCCGCCGGAAGATGCGCCTTCGGCGGAAGGGCCTTCGGGCCAAGGGACATCGGGCGGGCCACCCTCGGCTCTACCGCCTTCGACGGTAGATGCCTTCGGAACTGCGCCTTCGGCGGATGAAGCGCCGGGATTTGCGCCTACGCGTAGGCCGGACGCGTCCCTGGCGCAGGACCTAAGGGTGGAGCAGGACCGATCGGTGGAGCGGATTGACTGTCCGCAGGGTGAAATTCGTGCGCGCGATGCGCAATTACACCCCGCGCAGGTACATTCCGCACGATCGCCTTCGGCGGTAGACGCCGGCGGCGAAGAAGTTACAGTCGCGGCACAACAGGCGGACGATGGGAATGTGGCACGGCCGCATTCACCCACCGCCTTGGACATTTTAGCAGGGAGCAGCGAGGCTGCAGAAGCGCCAGCGGCGGCAGAAAACACTGACATCTCGTAGTCCCACCCAGGCTAGTCGCCGACGCATTCAATGGCGACCGAAATCCTCAATTCGGAGGATGACGAAGAAGGAGGATCTACGGAATCAGTGTCGGAATCAGGATCCACCGAGGAGGAGGAGGAGGAATTGGTAGGTGCGCCGGCGGCGGCGCTCTGTGAGCAGGTAGTACCTCTGCTGAGATACTTGGATCGCAAGATGGAGAAGTACGCGGATCCCCGCCAGCCTGGGTCCTACGTTGAGTTAGTGCGCAGGCGAACTCGCACTAAAGTCCACACCAGCAAGTTGCTAGCCCGTGTGGACCAGGAACTTAAGGCTCTGCGGGAGAAGCATGAATGCTTGTGGGGTTAGTACACCCTCAATAAGAAGGTGTACAAACACTTCGACAGGGTCAAGGATGAGAGGCTGGAAGAGTTCGCCAAGGAGAAGATGAAGCTCACGGAGGCGCTGGATTCTGAGCAGGCTCAGAATCAAATTTTGTTAGAGGAGCTTGTGCGACAGACGCGGTTGTTAGAGCAGTGTCAGCTCGCACGACAGGCGGATGAAGACTTAATCCGCAAGTTGCAATCTGAGTGCGGAGAATTGAGAGCACAGCATGCGGAGGCCGAATTGCAGTTTGTTGTGGTTGAAGACGATCGCCGACGGAAGGCAGATCGCACGAAGGAAGAGATGGCGAGGCGAGTCACCCACTGTCTCAGGGGCTACACCCACTGGGAAGTGGCGGCGCAGGAGAAATTCACACTGCGTGAGTTAGAGCTTCGTGCGGCCGGGTTGTTGGCAGGTGACAGTCGAAGTCGGCGGCGAGTGGCGAAGAAGCTGGATTCTTTTCTGTCGAAGTCGCGGGACACCATGGCCACCCTTGAGACGGAGGTTTCCGCAGTGTTGCGGCGTTTGGGACTACGCAGTCGAGCGGAAGACTGGCAGGGTAGGGAGTTAGTGCGCGGCAGTCCGTCGCGCAGGAGGCGAAGCACAGGTTCTGCGGAGTGTAGTGTAGCGTAGTTCCGTGCAGGCGCGTAGCGTAGTGCAGTGTAGTGTTAGTTAGGACTTAAAAGGTATAAAGTAGTTCAAGGCGTCTTGCCTTGAAATTTTTTCCAGTTTCGGAAGTGCAGATCAGGAACTCATTCTCTCTACGTGTTTGTGTCCTTAGTTCTGTAACCACGCGCGAGGAGCTACACCTTAGCGATCCGCATTGTGTAGTTGAAGGCCTTCGGCCGAATGTTCAAAGCTAGTACATTGGTTAGAGACTTGAGTAGTTCGGATCTACACATGCGGGTGATTGCCGATGCTCAGAGCCAGTGACGAGTTACATACTTGAACAGTTTCGCCCCTACACTTTCGAGTGACCGTTCTTGATTGTACTCTTTCGGGATTTTTCCCCTGAATGCCAAAGTGAAGTTTTGCTACTTCGTGTAAGCCTTGGTTGTAAATTCAGGTTACGCTGCAGCAGGTGTCTTCAGGGTAACCCCTGTAGTATTTGTCGGAATGACAAGTGCCTAAGAATTCAAACTCTTCAATAGACTGTTATGGTGTGTTACTGGAACGTTTCTCAGTGAGTCCCTCCGTGCGGACCTGTGTTCTCTGCGCGTTTTGTGAGTTGAGAGTGTTGTTCACCGCATGTGAGTGACTTCGATCCGAAGTAGGAAGTCCAACCCGGGTTTCCCTATGCTAGCAGAAAACTAGTGGAAGTGTTGTAAAAGCCGGAGTTGGGAGTCACTACCCGCAGCTTCGCTGAGTGTATTCGCGAGAGACTTTCCCCCCTGAAATCTTAAGTAGAGGTCCTAACCGATCTCTGGGTTGTGTTTCTGTAGTTTCAGGTGTGTGTGTGTGTGTGTTGAGTGAATTACGCTGCACTGTGCGACCTCCGAGTGAGCTCCGAGTGAACACTTGCAGTGTTTCTGGGAGTGACAGTCGCCTGAGAATTCAAACTCCTCAATAGTCTGTTAAATGTGACACTTTGTACCCTGTGTGTTACTCTGTACCAATGGGTTCGACCTTTCTATCACTATATTGCAGTTTTAGCCTTTAGTGGGTTATTACAATATATGATCCCGGGAGCATAGGAATCATAGAAGTCTACCCTGACGAGCCTGCCCTGGGAGGTGCAATTCTGGATGCACGCCAGCTGCTTCCACAGCATCTCGTTTCTGGCCCGCTGCTGTAGTAAGTCGGGAGAATGTCCACGCTGGTTTGATTAGATTTCTGGTTCACGACAATGTCGCACCACCGCTTGTAGTTGTGTACTCCTAGAGCTACTATAAACACATCGCCCGCGTGGTTCTTCAAGCGCAGCATGCCAGACTTGCCACTTGTTTCCATAATCAGGAATTGCTCGCCATCCACGTCGCTCCAAGTTGAACCACTCCAGTTCGTCTTCTCCACGATGCTGTACCAAACCGAGGGCTTGGTCTGGATCACTCTCACGCGGATTGTGTACGACATGGTCACCGACGACGGCCACAGATTCTGAAGTATGATCAGAGATTGTATAACGTCCTGAAGATCAAATTTGTTGGAGAGAGTTGAAATATGTGGGGAAGGAGGTCGTGTAACAAGCCTGTGCTGATATCGTTTATAAACTATCTCGCAGGCATCGAAGACATGTTGACCTCCAAGGATCAAAGTGTCGAGCAGGTACAGCTGCTGGTGTGTCAGCTGCCAAGGGATTAATTGTGACAGTTCACTATTTCCAAGCGACTCTAGCTCGTCAAGGGAATCAGGTCATCTTACAATCCCATTACATATTCCCGCGTGGGCATGATTGATAAGATAGCCTTGGTCAAGTACAGCTGTGGACAAGCTGCGCGTGTTTTCCCATGTTTTAAGGGATTCGGACTCAAGATGGCCGGTTCTGTAGAAGACGGCAAGGTACATGCCAATTGACGCAAATTGACATTCTTCATGCATACGTTCGTCGATATAAGACCCAGACCTTGACTCCTTCGATTCGGCAGGGAGTGTGTCTAAGTACTTATCATAATAAGTAGTAAAAGTAAGCCATGAAAACCAATAAAATCGTAAAACACTACAACAAAATCCAAAATTAAGGGCAGAACAGACAGAAGGAAGGCGAGTCCGAGACCAGAAGAAACAGAAGAGTGTAGACTGCCTGCTGCTAATTCATTTTCTTTTCCAAAAAATAGAGAAAGCGATTTAAATCAGCTTGAGCGCCTGTGAGGGATACATTTGCCGGGGAGACAGCCTTAGAGTTGTGAGACGACATCATCTGTGTAAGATCATGTACGTCACAGCTACTAGTTTTTATTTGAAGCTTCCAGAACTGTAAACTAAAGAAGTTTATTATTTTCATTACTACTATTTCTGCTCTGTAGTAAACACGGGATGTGTCAAATTCCTTGAATAATAGACACTTCGACTGTTTCACGCCAGACACAGTTGCTTTCATCCATTTGATATTGATAGCCGTAATTTTCACTCCCGACCCATATCGGACACGTCCACGGCCATGTAGCAGATGTGGTCATGCAAAGGTACTGCAGAAACGATCCACCGTAAACCATATAGGAACACTGATCCCAAGCCCAGTGGGCAAATTTCATGTTCATCCGAAAGAACGTGCACACAGTTCTTGCCTCACTGAAGACCACTCCCCTGACCGAATGGACTGCTCGTGCACCATCAGAAGATGCTCCTTGAACCAGCAGCGACCGCATGACGTAATTGGATGCATTGTATCAGCCACCGGATGTCACACAGTCAGCCAAACGGGACATGTACGGTAGGCTACAATAGAAAAACTTATAAACACTGTCAAGATAAGACATCAGCCACTTCGCATTGGTGTACTTACTAACTTTCCGACACAAAGGTCTGAGATCTATCTAACATTACAGCCGGACATGGTCAGCCAGAGCAGATTTACTTGCGAAGACTAGTACCCAAAGTCTTCGCTTGACTCCGGTTCCGGGCACATTGGGAAGTTGACGTAAGTCTTTGAGGTAGATAGTTCAAGATAGTTATAGTAAAATCATTCAGAGCTTCAGGGGCTTCAGAGTTCTCTTTGAGTTTGATTTCATGTGCTTTAATCTCCCAGTAGTGAGCTTTTAGCGAATCTGGTGTCGAGCGTTTTTTGAGTCCACAGAGAACACAATACATATATGAATTTTTATTTATATATAAAGGCAAGGTTAATATATATTTATTTATATATATATATATATATATATATACTCTGCCTGCACATTTCAGGAATGTGCAGGCAGAGTATTGAAATTAGGACATGTCGTATTAAGAACGAATCCAGCAGTTTTCGCTATTTGATTATTGATGCAACTGAGAATGAAACCACGAGTGTTTCAACAACTTTTATCGGGAATCTTTGACGTTAGCGTGTACACTGAAGCAATAGCAGTATCTCTTCTTTCAGAGAAACTGATTACTTCACTCCCAAAAGCCCAACAATACTGGTATGCGCTCAGAGCAGATGAAGGGAGAAAGATCCACAATAAATGAAACGCCATGAAGTAGAACCAGGTAGACAGACCTAACCACACAACAACAACATAAAGAGAAACTGATAAGGATCCCGTATCAATTTGGCTCCTGATTGCACAATCGGAGCAAACACTTCCCTAGGCAGTGAAGAAGAAAACTAGAAATGCAATCTGATCAATCTTGGATGGGAGAAAAAGAAGAGTATAAAAAGCCGAAGAGTAAGCATCGTAGTCACGGCTCAGTTCATGAGCCCTTCAGATATGAAATTCAACCCTTCACAATCGATCAGTTGCGGAATTATTGGATTTTATTCATTGATCCTAGCTACTGTACATGCTCTCTTCCTGTTCAGAACTGCAGAACCGCATCATGCAGCTCGGAACAAGTCGGGCTGCGTTTATAGTAGCCAGTAAATAGCATACTATACTTGTAGCTCACCCCGCATCTTGATGCTGAGCTTCTAACAACAGCGATTACTCTGAATCCTACAAAATCGTCTACTGCACGTAGATAAAAGAATGCACTGAGAATCAAACTCTATTCTTCAGTGTGAGTACATAAGGCTCCTACAAAACAGTTCCATACAGGGTTTTAGCCTACAGAGTAATAATGAATCGGGGGCAATATCGTTACGCAATCGATCAGTCGAATATCGTCCTCTCGCCCACACGGCACACTCTAAGCAATTTCAGACAGTGATCTTCAGAAAGGCTGACTTTTAATGCAGGGGAGCCAGACTGGAACAATTTTCTATGTACACTGGAGCGAGGAGGTGCATGGCGGGGGCATCTGAGCTTCTTGGGATAAATTGGGATCTACTGGAAGACAGTCATGAACGAGAGTTGTCTTTGTAGCTTGGACATGCGGTCCGAGTGCAGATTCAGAAGCGCCACCATGCTGCCAGGCCCGTCTGTGCCGGGCATCATGGCGATTCCATCAATCAGAGGTCGAGGAGGGGAATTTCTGGCTGCGAACACGGGTTTGTTCTCCCCTGCGAATTTGATCTCGTACAAGGGGAAGAAGGTCCAGAAAGTGGCAGCCACATCGTGGCCCATCGAATTCACGTGCTCGGATTTGGCCGCCGCCAGTCCGCACACTCCCTGCTCTTCCACCCAATCGATCAGAGATCGGAAGTACTCGCCCGTGATGTTCCGGGTGGCGGTCCTGATGTGAGAGGCCGCCAGATGAATGGATCCGTGCGCAATTTCCTCCTCCGTGGCCATGGCGCAAGCGCTGCACACGACGTTTCCGAAGTACCCAGGCTTGAGCCCGAGCTTCTTCCTCCCGTCCACGAAGATGAAGAACCTCGTCGTGGCGTGACCGACCGGGTGCTCCAGCCTGTAGTGATCGCTTTCGACAGTCCTCGGGCTGTCGGCGGTTCTCGGACTGTCAGCATTAGCCATCCTGGCCTTGGTCATCTGGATCCACAGGTGCGCCGAGATGGATTCCGCAGTGGTGAAAGATCGGCCCGGGGTGAAAGGAGGAGGCTGGACATTCGCTCTCGTCTTCAGCTCGGTCGCAGCCTCTCGAGCCAAATGGAAGGCGTTCAGCAGAGCTGGCTGGCGCACTGCTCGCTTGGCGGTGGGCGATGGCAGATCCATCAGAGGCTTGGCAGTGTACCCATTCACCAGGGTGGGGTTTAGTGGGCTCCTGGGCTTGAGCTGAGCTCGATTGTGATCGGGACGGATCGAGATTTCCAAACCCTGCGCAACCTCGGCCCAGGACTTCATGAAGTGGGTGCCGGAGAATCCATCGGCCACAGTGTGGTGCCAGTTGGTGGCCACGGCAATCGCTCCGCATTTGAATTCTGTCACCATGACGATGAGCACGGGCATCGGCTGCTCCTGGTCGGGCACGTACAGAGGCCCGGGTCCGATCTTGGCAATGTCCATGCCAGAGATGGACCACATGGGCTGCGCTCCTCCTGCACCTGCGAGCGTCACATCGACGGCGGCTTCGATGAAAATGGCTCCGCCATCGTTGCAGTGGAGATCCACCACCCCGTCCATTCGTACTTCCAGACGCCCAGCTAAGGGATAGAAGTCCACCAACACTTGGGACAGAGAACTCCTCATGTGCTCCATCATGTCGGCTGGTGGATTCTCGAAGAAGTGAATTATGCTGCTGAAGGTCGGGTTCACCACACGGTCCAGGTTGCTCAGATTCAGCCAGTGATCCTCGGTCGGTGTCATCGGCTTTACGAGTGAAATTTTGCTTGGCTTCACTCTGACTCCAGCCACAGTCGGGCCCCGACTCAGGACTCCGTTCATTCCGGCCATATCTGTTAAACTTCAAGCTCACTCGCTAAGCAAGCGTCCGAGCCAAGCTCTAGTGTGTGCTCTCGCAGTCCTGTGCTTGGATACTGTCAGCTCGCCGCAGGATTCTCGTACTCTGAAGTGGATTCAGTCCACAGAGCTGCACTGATTGCCCTCCCCGCTCTCTCCCTCGTCGTAGTAGTGGTCCAATTTGACGATTTCGAGTCTCAATTTGAGGCTACACTGATCTTCAGAATAATCGAGAGATGGAAGTACTGATATTCCAGTGTTTGAGACTCGTAATTGGATACTCTGAGAAAAGACTGCTGCTGTTCAACTTGAATGGTGGAGACTATATATATGAAGCTCCGAGTGCGAGCGAGCGTGTGAGTGAGTACCCGCAGTCCTGGATCCGAGGGTAACAGGTCATCGACGAGACTTTGACTTCCGAGTCTCCTGCCCCTACTCGGCCTAGCACAGTAGAGCGGCCCTAGTCCAGAAAGTGTACCATACGAGCTGATGAACTCCGATGCGAGCTCGGAGATGGCGATGGTCACAAGTCCGTGTGGGAGCCAGAGTCCTGGTCCTACTAATGAATGAAACAAACTCGCTTCAGTGACAGGATCATCGTAAAGTGTTGGGTGAAAGGCACCAGCAGAGAGGCACAAAGTAGTTCAGGACTGTCAGTGCCAAGGGGTCGTAGGACCCGAACCCGGACGAGCTCGAATCTGAGCGGGCCACACTTGAGGAATTCCGTTGGGGGACTCATGTTCCGATTTGGCCTTCGGGTTTCGAGCTCGCGGGGATCGCATGGTGGGTCCCCTCCAAGGCACACGGCAGTTTCTGAAGCGACCTCTTGGTCCTCTGAAATTATTGCCTTGATGCGTACTCTGGGGCAAATTGGCAAATGGCTCCGAAGATCGCAGTGAAGTCAAAGCCATCATGATGCGCTTCACATGATCTACAAGATAAGATCCAGAGAGAACAGCTGCTCCTCCATGGAGTCCACATTTGTTGTCATATAATACATCAGCCCAAAGGCAATATTACACGAGATTGGATGTGTGTATCATATTATATTTATTGTAATTTGATTTAAATCTCTTGTGTGGCTCCTCGAAACCTCGCAAATGATTGTGGATAACGAATTGTTTGAAGGTGTTAGACATCTTCATCTACATGCACGAATTTATGGGGATGAGGGAACCTATGGAACTCAAGTATGTCCTGAGTATGTTTTGGAATTTTGGTTTTATGTACACCTAGAAGCTGAGAGTAATTGAACAGTAATGTATTTATTGATTTTCAGTCCATTCGTAAATATATTTAATATAAAGGAGAAATTTGTAAAGAGATATTATATCATTGGCTATGTACAGTCAAGCTCGTTTTCTCAACTTTACATATTAGGGTTTTCATTTCAATCCATTCATTTTTCATCCTGTATATGTTAGAATGTAAGTGCAAAAAAAAAAAAAACAAACAAGTGATGTTAGATGATTGTACTTTGTGGTTTTCAATGTAAATAGATTCAGGATGAAGAATGATGTGTCACTAGAAATTCTCCTTTGACTGGATATAGGAACACTTTTCCTAGTGAATACACTTGTATCAATGCATCATGAATCATGTTCTTTGTTTAATGTCCTAAATTTAGTTTAGAAGGAATTGAAATGCTCAAGAGATGAGAGATCATACCTAAAAATGTGATTTCATAGATAATCACAAGTTCACCGTTAGATGATTGAAGTGATTGGAATCTTCATTAAGTTTTAGGTTGGAATTTTTTGATTGTTTAGATTCTGACGTTCATGCTTATTTCATCTGTTTTGTTCTCTTACAAAAGCTTTTTTTATCATTTGATCAGTTGTCATGCCATAAGATGGTATTATTGGCATAATATAAACATTTTATCACAATGATATCTGAAAAATATAACAAGATATGTGTTGAGGCATGAGTATTTTTTGATATTTGAATATAAATGAAATTTTTTGTGAATAAATTTTTTTACCAATCATTTAAGTTAGTTCTAAGTTGATTATGTGTTGCAAAGATCAAAGTAAAATATCGATTGATTAGAAAAATCTGTTTCAATAATAAAAAAATTAATTTTTCTATTCTAGCAACAACTTTGTGCACATCACTGTGGAGTTATCACTTTAATATGATGTATGGTCATATGATTGAACAAATAATACTAAAATATCATACAAACAAAAATTTGGTAGTAAATTACATCATGAAGTTTAACGAATCATAATTTTCATAATTTTTAAGATTTTTTCGATTATTTTAGTACCTCTATTATTCAATCGAATTTTCATTCTATCAAGGTGCTATTTTTTTTTAATTTATAATTGAGCTTAAGTTCTAGTGTTATTCTGTTATTATCAGGATTCATAATAATAACTCACTTATTTTGATCATGTCAAATTGTGTGTTTTATAGTTTTTTGAATGCATGTTTTCAAGTAATAAATCTTTGTAATCAAAATATTTTGTCATTCTAAAAAAATATGGATTCAAAATGCCAAAGTATAGGGTATGAGATAGTTTGAATATTGTTCCTCATCTCTTCCTTCTTTTAGTGATGTATCACATTGAGGGATCTCCTAAGCATAATTGATCTAAAATTGACAATGCTATTTTATTTTGAAAAGAGATAAGATTATTCATATTTCAAATCTGCGGCAATGCAACGATGAATAAAAACCAACATTCATAAGTATATAACTATTTATCAAACCTTGGATGCCAATCTATTAGAAGTATGTAGAAGAGTTGACATATTTCTTATCATGTCTTGGACTTCGAAATGGTAAAAATATGATAAGATGTATTTTAGATAGATGAATTTATCAATAAACCTCAGCTTGATCAGAACTCATACCACAAACCAAGAGGACATTGTTAGATAAGATGAGTTTGTTGGATACAGTGTACTACAGTTCTAGGAAGACTTGCATGACCCGTGTTCGTTGACTGGATTCCTGCTCCTAGTCTATCCCAAAGAGTGAATATAAAGTGTTGGAAAAGCACGAACGATTTAAAATATGACTTCCATGCAGCAGAAACTTCTACGCCATCATCGTCGCTTTTCTCGCACGTGGTTGTGAGGCCTTTGTTTGAAAGAAGTCTCGTATCATTATATCGAGGTAGTAGAAAGATATAGTGAATCGAAAGAAGCTTGAAAACGAAAAACCATACCTCCTCGTTCTCAAAAGAGAAAGGATAATTACTTTCAATTTCTTCAAAGCCTGCTTCTAAGTTATTACTATTCATGTTCTCATTGTGGTTTCTGTATAAATATATGATTTTAGAAAAACCGTTGGTGTGTTTCATTAGTTCCAAGCTGCTGGGCTCCACATCTGTTTTGTTACCGAACACTGAAGTAGAGATTTCGAACACATTCATCCAATACATCCACTCTTAAGGCATATTTGTTCATGCTATGGAATACGTAAATTTATGTAATTGTTCTCTTTGTCCATTGCAATTGCAATGTATACCTTCTGAAGAATGTTCTTTGCGAATACTTAGTCCTTGAGAATGTTACTGATAACCACGTATCTAACAGCATTTGTAGATCTCAGGATGTAGAGTACCTTTTTCTGTACGTAGATGAAGCTTCTAAAATGACTGCCAATGAGGTTCTTTTGAATTTACTTTCACTATCTCTTGGGATATTATTAAAAAATTGGTATTCCGATATATCTTTGGTAGCACGTTCCTATCGTGTTTACCGATTTTGTAGATTCAGTTCTGATATGTGACATGTTCTAAAATAAGATCAAGATAAAACAATTTATATGCTTTCATTCTGAAAGTCTTCTAGTTAATTCCTTAACTAATGGCCGAGAAGAAACATGATTGAGTGACCAGTTTCAAAACAATATATTCAAACTACATGATCTAAAATGGGCTTTATGATTAGAAAAAGAACAAAAAAAGGATTCTCATGATATATAGATGTTAACTGTTATATGTTCTGGTTGAAGAGGGCTAAAAATCGCATGGACAATTCAAAATGTGAAGAGATCATGTTATGTGGAGGTTATGCGAAGGGCAATGTAGATGTAATTTCTTGGGTTCATCCATCACCTAAGTAAGGAGGGTAAGATCACTATCATTTAATCAATTGTTAAATTTTCCAACGATGGATTATATAAAGTTTTGCGACGTCTATTCAAAAAAAAATAGTATAGTACAATTTCCTATTTTAATTATAATAGTCAGTATGCTCGGCTAGCAGTGCATGTTGTGGATATGAAAGGGTAAAATTTTATCTTATACACTCATTGTAAGGCTTTTAAATCCACCTACAGCGTATTTTCTTCTCCGAGAACGACATTACGTCACAGATCAGAGCAAATTTGATTCTATAACCCATAGCTAGGTTGGAGATGGTCCACCATATCACCTTAAAGCCAGTGTCCTGGCCAATGTATCAAAGTATTGAATCAAAAGTGTAAATTTCCATAGATTCAGCTCTCTCCGAGTTTCACATTAACATTGTGCAGCACATGCACAAAAGGAGCCATGGAGCAAGGCTCATGAAATTGAGATGCATGCCACCAACATTTCGGAGGAGAAATGGATGCGCGTAGGACCTCTGGAGCTGGGTAATTGGCGTGCGGTCTTCTCGACGAGTCCGCAGAAGACGACCCCGGTTGACCTCGAGGTGACGAGTCGGCAGGGGATGGATTCTCTAAAGCAGAAGCGAGGGGCCGTCAGACGACACAGTCACTGCATGACTCTTGTCCTCTTCCTTGCTCGGGTATCTCTGCAGCACGTGCCTCCCACCGTCAGCTTCCTCGATCCCTCGCCCCCAGTTTCCATGTTGGTCGCAGCTAAATCAGATAATTTGGTTGATTGAGTATCAGACTTACAGACGACTCGTCCCTGGAACGTGGGTACGAGAGAAGCCGAGACTCCGGGTACATCGGATGCAATGAGCCTTCATTTCAGATTTGCCAGGCTGCTGAATGAAAGCCGCGAAAGATGGGAAGCGTCTCGTACCGCCTTCGGAGAGCTTCTTAAGTCCGAGTTTCTGAGTCTGAGTATGAGTCGGGCCGCCTTTCTCAAACATTCTCCCCCAGTCTACCCTGCCATCCTCTCAATCCGGTCCAACTCAGATTGGTAGAAGCATTCAACATTCGACAACTCAGGGCTCGAAAACGTCGTAATTGGCTCTGCTTTCCTTGCAATGTCGGGATTGATCCATCAGTCATGATGTACATAATACGTAGACCAAATTTTCAGATGGAAGATCCGCTCAGGTAGTATCGTGTAGACCACTTCTGTCTCATGCTAGCCACACTGCAGTCAGGACCTGCAAATTCATTCCTTCGATGACATATGAGGGCGGTCAAAGCAAAGAACACGACCACGGATTGTACTTTCATCGGAGACAGATGTCGGACCTCAGATCTGCTATAAAACCGAGAGGTTCGCCTTGATGAACAAAAAAAAAAACCTCTTGCCATCATTCACATCTATGCAAGGCAGTTCGGCCGGCTCTCGAGTCGCTTAGAGTCGAATCAGAATGCAGTAGTCCTTGTAATTTGAGCAACGATTCTGTTAACAAGATCCAACTAATAACCTGGCCTACCAT